TTTATATCCAGCAAAGCTGATCTTCAAGTGCAGAGTCCAGGTGGTTACCAGGATGAAAGAACAGGTGACTGTGCTGAGGAATCACATAGAGAAGAGATGCCACAGAATACAAAGACCCAGAGACTCACGGGCTCAGAGACTAGCACAGAGATTCACATACATTTCCCTGTAAAACAAAGACTCAATAAGAGCTAAAAGGGAAATATAATTATGTGATGGCTAAAGGTAAAATACGTACACAATGAAAAATTAAAATGTTTTCAATAACCATAATTGGTGATAGTATCAAGATTTGTTAAACTAATATTTGTAAGTAGGATGAAATAAATGAGTAATCATGGGGTATTCTCATTTGAAAAAAATATTTGAAGGGGGGGGCGGGGAGAGAGAAAGCTCTCCCATGAACCAAATGCCTGTAACACTAGGGCTTGGTCAGACCAAAGTCAGAACTAGGAAATCAATCTTGGTCTCTCACTTGAGCGGCAGGATCCTAACTGCTTGGGCCATCACCTGGGGTCTCCCAGGGTACATGTTAGCAGGAAGCTGGATTCAGGAGGAGCGCTGGGATCCAGAGGGGGCACTTACACACCCTGATACAGGGTGTGAGCACCCCAGATGGTGTCTCAGCTGCTGCACGACCCCCAGGCATCTGACTTCACCACCCCTTGTGCCCACGAGAACCAGGACTCTTAATAAAAAGAAAGCAGATTCTGACACAAGTTGGTAGAGGTCAAGTTAAAACTCTGTAGCTTTTAATATACTTTGGAAATATCAGTCTGAACTCATAAATTATCTGTACTTGGGAGAAGGAAGAAGAGACACAAATTTGTATTTCCAACTCTCCCCACTGAAACCATGAACATCCAGTAGCAATGATAATTGCAGCAACCCAGAATGAGGTCTTAAAATTTCATTTCCCAATAAAAGAAACCAGGACTCAGAGAAATAATTGATTTCAGGTCTGGAGCAGTAGCTGTATAAGATTAATTTAGGACATCGTGTAATACTTAATAGCAAGGAAGCTAATAAGACTACTTCCATTGGTCAAATAAGAGACAATTAAAGTGAGTTATCAATAAGGATAAGACTTGCAAAGTATTGAACTCCAAGAAATATGTCCAAATCCATGAATTTATAATAACTTTTTAAACATTAGTTGTCACCTTTGGAGAATAGGAACCCATTCATTATAATCAAAGCTAGAAAAAATTAAGAAAAGAATCACGCCTTCACTCTGCCTTTTCTATAAAATCCATGGAAAGTCAAATGGCCGGTGGAGGAACCGTCTCCGTAAATCACTGCAGCAAATACAAGCAAGCCAGAGCCTCTCCATTCGCAATGCCAGCGGATTGATGATCTAGGCACTGCGTACCTCACTCTTTTATATTTCCACTTCTTTATTTTAGCAGATTTTATTTATCTTATTTGTGAGACACAGAGGGTGGGAAAGCCGGGGGAGGGGGGCGCTCCTACCCACTGGGTCACTCCCCAAACACCTGGGAAGAGGGAACGCAATTAAGGCATCCCGCATAGTATCAGGGACCCAGCTATCGGCTGCTACCTGCTGCCTCCCAGGTGCGCATTCACAGGGAGTGGAGCCAGGATTCAAACCCAGGCACTCTGCTATGGGATGGGGGCGTCCCACTCAGAGCCTGGCTATGCACTGGATGCCCGCCCTGCTAACATTTTAAAAGATCACAAATCAGGTCTCCGCTTCTCCTGATGACATAGGATCTTGGCAAAGGAGACCAACCTGCGTCTGACACAGCCTCAGTGTCCAAACGCCAGATTTCTGGAAAATCCAGGGGACCGGAAGCAGGTGGACCCGTACTATGGTCACGAAGTCCACAGAGCCCCGTGTGGAGGAACTACGGGCCGTGTTCTCACACAGACTGCAGGAGAGGGAAAGGACATCGGTTATAGGAAGCTCGAAATGCGTGTCAAAAGTCAAGACACGGGCAGGATTAAACTGCAAGGTGTGAAAACGACTTGCAGTGTAAAATCATAAAGGCCCCTGAGGGTCTGAGGATAGACATCAGAGTCCTGACGTTCTGAGCCGGTGGGGGCGGGGTCCACGTCTGGAATGGACACGTGGAGAAACTTAGAAGGTGACCGGCCAAGTTCTGGTTAGTGACAGAAGTGATAGCTGCAAGACGATTTGCCTTAACATAATCCGCTAAGCTATTCAAGGGAGGGGTGGGCAATGATATCAGCCAGCCAGGACTAACATCTCTGCTCCACCCGGTCAGCCATCCCCCCGGGCGAGCACTCAGCTGAGACTTGGCTCTCATCCTCAACACGGAGTCCAGCTTGCAGCGTCATGGCAGAAAGGGCTTCCCAGCTCCCTGTTTCGTCAAGGTGGAAGCACGTGTGATGACGGCAGTGCGTCCCCCTGAGCCACGCCGACGGGCACGAGGCGCCATCTGGGGACAAGATCCCCGAATCCTCCTGTGGCTCCTGAGTGCGCAGAGACTGCTTTGCTAGGAAGCGGGCGTCACGCCGAGGGATGCGGATGGTAGGGCGGGAATCAAAGCAAGACCTGCGGCCCTAGGGGCTGCAGACAGACAAGTGGGTGCCCTGTCCCAGGAAGCTCCCACTTCCTGCACACAGGAAGTAGCTGTCACCGTCCTGGAGTGGTGACCTGCCTGGTGGGACTACTGACTGTGTCCTCTGGACCACTGTGGTCAATGCAATGTTTAAAAGTCCCCTCCCCCCTTTTTAATGTATTATTGCTTTTAAAATTATTTATTTATTAGAGAGAGAGAGAGTGAACAAGCTCCTATTCACTGGTTTACTCTCCAAATGGACTCAACGGCCCCCAGCTGAGGCCAAAACCAGCAGTCATCAACTCAACCTCCCACGGTGGTGCAGGAACCTGACCACAGGGTCTGCGTGAGCAGGAAGCTGGAGTGGGGGGCCAGGGGCCAGCATCAGAATCAAGCTCTCCAGTGTGGGACACAGGCATCCCTGACTGGTGTTTTAACCGCCCTGCCAAATGCCCCCTGCCCCACGCCCAGGTTTATTTACTTATTTTTTTTAACATATGGGGAGCCCTTTATTGAGGGATTGCTGTGATGCAGGTAGCAGGGAGGGACAGTTCACAGGATTAGAGCATAAGCTGGCCATTATTATCCTTGGCTGTGAATGGCAGGACCGCAGTGCAGAGGATTAGGTCACAGGCTCAGGAAGGGAGCCAGAGGAACTCAGAGCCAGGCTGGCCGGCAGCGCAGCCCAGATCTGCATCTGAAGTGGCTCGGGAAAGCACGTGAAACATCCTCACTGGGCATCGCCCATTCCCCCCTCGATGGTCCCAGCCCCAGCCCTGCGCCCACCACTGCTGGGGGGGACCTTGCCCAGGGCACCCACAGCCACAGCTGCGCCTCCCGGCCACCAGGACTGCCTGCCGTCCTCAGCATAGGGTGGCCTTGGGACAAGAGCTCGGCTCAGCCACTGGTCGCTCGATCACCCTCTGCCCTGGCACATGCCCTGGCACATGCCGGGCTGCAGCTCTGAGAGCAGACGGGCTCTGCGGACGGCGCTCATTGGAAAATTGCTGCTCCCGGCAACCGCTTCCCTTTAAACGTGGGAGGCAACAGCCCCAAGGTGAAGGGCTGGGATTTGGGGTTTAAAGAAACTGGGTTCAAATCGACCTGCATTCCCCATTGGTAAAAAGGGAACAACACCGCCTACTTCATAGAGTTGATGGAGGAATAAGCATAAAGCACTTAGCTCAGCACCAGGCTCAGGGCAGTGTTCAGTGAAAGGTAGCCATTGTTACTACACTAACATTATTGTTATTATAACAATGAGGTCCCCATTGAAAGAGCTGATTCTCCCCACCTCTTAAAAGCCACACAAAATACTGAAAAGAGAGCTGTGCAGCAGCCCCCCCTGGCCAGTGACCTGCTGAGCTCTGCTGGGTCCCCAGCCGCCCTCTGGCCTCCCCTGCTACCTGTGGGTTTGTTTGCTGAAGAGGATAAACGGGGTGCAGCCTCTTCCCTTGAATGCAAAGGCCCCTTCCGCAGAGGCTTTGAGCCCTGATGACTACAGCTGCTGGCCGCAGTGCACTGAGGGCAGCGCACTCCCCGGGTTGCGCAATCGAGAAGGCAGCCGCTGATGCTAAGGCTGCTGAGAGTGAGGGGTCACAAGGCCACAGCAGAACGTCTGAGGAAGCGAATCACAGCTCTCAGCAAGCACAGAGAGGCAACGAAGCAGCATCGGGAAGAAATTCAAGAACCGAATGCAGTCCCAAGACATCAGCCAAGCTGCACGTTCCTTACAGGAATCCAGCGAGGAAACAGGCAAATCCGAGAACTGCAAAAGGAGGACGGAGAGTAGGGTCCCTGCTGGGAAGCAGAGGAGGCTGCCCCGGAGCTCGGCATGAGCAGGCGCTGAGAACAAGCGTGTAGGGCGCTGATGGCAAGCAGAGACCATGATGGGGTGTGACGACGATGCTAAAGGCAGCATTTCGAGCCGGCGCCCCGGCTCACTAGGCTAATCCTCCACCTAGCGGTGCTGGCACACCGGGTTCTAGTCCCGGTCGGGGCGCCGGATTCTGTCCCGGTTGCCCCTCTTCCAGGCCAGCCCTCTGCTGTGGCCAGGGAGTGCAGTGGAGGATGGCCCAAGTGCTTGGGCCCTGCACCCCATGGGAGACCAGGAGAAGTACCTGGCTCCTGGCTTCGGATCAGCGTGGTGCGCCGGCCGTGGCGGCCATTGGAGGGTGAACCAACGGCAAAGGAAGACCTTTCTCTCTGTCTCTCTCTCTCACTGTCCACTCTGCCTGTCAAAAAAATAAATAAATAAAGGCAGCATTTCGAGGACTTACAAGCGCAGGTTGCGCAGATAACCGACACGGCAGCAAGAATGAGGAAAACCCTGAAAATCACGAGACAGGAACAAAGATCCCAACGGAATGAAAAGCCAAAGGCTTGAAAGAAAGTCTTCTGATAACTCGAGAACCACGTTAGAACCTTAGGCGAGATGGCAGGCGCGTGTCAGTACTGCTGACCAACGGTCAGCGGAGTCTCCGGGAGCACGGAAGGACTTTCCATCCAGGGCCTCTCCACGGCTCCCGGGGGCGTGAGGACCAAGTGAGTGAACAGAAAACTCAGCCCCAGCCACTCTGCTTTTGTTCGTGCTGTGTAACACGTACGGTGCATCTGTTAAGAGACAGCGGCGCAGCGCCGGCCATAGCGGCCACTCATGGGTGAACCAACGACAAAAGGAAGACCTTTCTCTCTGTCTCTCTGTCTCTCACTGTCCACTCTGCCTGTCAAAAAAAAAAAAAAGAGACAGCGCCCAGAATGTATCGCCAACCATCATAGACTTTATTCCCAGCACAGCTAGAACGTGGGGACTCAGCTGGGCTCATCCGTGAATGCTGAATCTACCAAGAGGCATCAGCAGCGCTGTTGGCTTTCTGGAGAACACGTGGATGAAGCTGGATATTCCCAGGAAGTCTTGGGGATTTCATAGAATTATCTCAGTTTAAAAACATAAATTTTGCCCCGGTTTTGTGAGTGGAGACTCCTCATACTAAGTTTTATTCTTCCTGTTTGCTGTCAAAGGTAGCAAATAGTTTGCATCCTAGGAGACTTCAGCTTCAGTGACTGCCTGTCTAGTTTCCATTAACCTAAATTTTTGTCAAAGAGAGCTCATAGTTAAAGGCTGCAGGCATGTTTTGTATGAGCCTAAACAAAAGAGATAATTTAATTACGGCTAATTTTTGATCACTGGTACTTAGCTAACAGTTGTCCATAACTTACTTAAGTGTATGAACTATTATTTCAACAATGAAAGGCCAGGGCTACGTACTGCTTTGTAAGGAGATCTTATAGACAGTTACTTCTTCAGAAGGATAAGTTTTGGTTCTAGGTCAGTAGCCATGAGTTTCCTCCTTTGTGCTTGACCTGTAAGGGTACTATGAAGTGCATTTAGCCAGCAGAGCTGAAACGTGTGAGACAGCAAGTGAACTGGGAATGCCTCGGACCCATAGAATCCTTTTCTAAACTAGTTATTCTTGGTTTACGGAAAAAGCAAATTAAATTTTAAAAACAAATTACTGGACCCCTTTTTATGCTCCATCAGATTTTCCTAACTTGGAAGAATTTTTTAAGATCTTTATCTTATTTATTTGAGACTTAGAGTTACAGACAAGCAGAGGGAGAGACAGAAAGAATAGTCTTCTATCTGCTGGTTCACTCCCCAAATGGCCACCATGGCCAGAGCTGGGCTGTCTGAAGCCAGGAGCCAGGAGCTTCTTCCAGGTCTCCCACGTGGATGCCGGGGCCCTAGCCCTTGAGCCATCTGCCACTGCTTTCCAGGCCATAAGCAGAGCTGGATTGGAAGCGGAGCAGCCAGGACACAGACCAGCACCCGTTCAGGATGCCAATGCCACAACTGGAGGCTCCCCTACTACACCACCATGCAGCCCCTTGCAAGATTTTCGTAACATTTAGTTGGAAAGGGGAGCAAGATCTGTGGATCTAGATGTGTTTTTTTTTTTTTTTTTTTTTGACAGGCAGAGTGGACAGTGAGAGAGAGAGAGAGACAGAGAGAAAGGTCTTCCTTTGCCGTTGGTTCACCCTCCAATGGCCACCGCGGCCAGCACGCTGCGGCCGGCGCACCGCGCTGATCCGATGGCAGGAGCAAGGAGCCAGGTGCTTTTCCTGGTCTCCCATGGGGTGCAGGGCCCAAGCACCTGGGCCATCCTCCACTGCACTCCCTGGCCACAGCAGAGAGCTGGCCTGGAAGAGGGGCAACCGGGACAGAATCCAGCACCCCAACTGGGACTAGAACCCGGTGTGCCGGCGCCGCTAGGCAGAGGATTAGCCTAGTGAGCCGCGGCGCCGGCTTTAGATGTATTTGTTTTTAAAAAAATATCAATAGACAGAACATAAGTTTTTAAAAGCCACCAAATACAAAAATTGTGCTTTATCAATTAAATCCTAAATTTTTTCTTATTTTATGGTCATTAGAGAATAAAGAATAAGAGTGTCAGATATGGTCAAATATATTAAATACATATTAAAATTTGCATGCCTACAAATTTGTACTTTTGAATATAAAGACATATTACTTCACATGGAAATTTTAATGTATAAATTCACATATTGGTAAAATTCAAAATTTCTTTTCACTTCAGAATTTTTGCATTTCAAGTTTGGGGGCAGGGGGATGACTGGAACTGACTGACTGGGAAAGAGCTGATGGCCCAAACTTCAGACAGATTTCTTTGCTCATTCAGAAGCCTTAATTAATATTTTATAGGTGACAATTTTTATTTTTAAACTTCTCTGTTGGGTTTTTTGAAACCAACACATTCATTCAAAATATGAATGACACATTCTTTCAAAAAAAAAAAAGCTTTTATCCCACGTAAGAGCAAAAGGAAGAAAACAAGCTACGCTCAGATTAACACTGAGGCAGCTGTCATAAAACATTACTTTATAAGAAATTATCTTTGTAAACAAATATGTTAATTTGCTCTTGGTTTCCTTCCTTGGATATAATTTTAAGGTTTTGGTGTTTAAAGACACTTACCTTTACTTTGTTTTTAGCAATGCTTTTCCATCCCATACATTAAAAAAAAGGACCTTAAATTTATGTCTGATAGTGTGCTCTGCGTAGGAACTTACTTTATCAATAAGAATGAACGATTAAAATTGGAGAGAGGGACTGGCACTACAGCATAGTGGGTAAAGCCACTGCCTGCAGTGCTGGCATCCCATATGGGCGTCATATCAAGTCCTGGCCGCTCTTCTTCCAATCCAGCTCTCTGCTGTGGCCTGGGAAAGCAGCAGAAGAGGCCAGAGTCCTTGGGCCCCTGCACCCACATGGAAGACCTGGAGGAAGCTCCTGGCTCCTGGCTTCAGATCGGCTCAGCTCCGGCCCTTGAGGCCACCTGGGGAGTGAACCAATGGATAAAAGACCTCTCTCTCTGTCTCTGTCTCTGCCTCTCCGTGGTTCTGTATTTCAAATAAATAAATCTTTAAAAATAAAATAAAACAAAATAAAATTGGGGAGCAAAAAGCCAGCGTCATGGCACGATGGGTTAAGCCACCCCCTGTCTCGGATGAGACTCCCGGCTGCTCCTCTTCTGATGCAGCTCCTTGCTAATGCTCCTGGGAAAGCAGCAGAAATGACCCAAATCCTTGGGCCTCTGCATCCACATGGGAGACCCAGAGGAAGCCCCCTGCTCCTGGCTCCAGTCTGGCCAAACCAGCTATTTGACAGTGAACCAGCAGATGAAACATCTCTCTTTCTACTTCTGAATCCACCTCTCTTTCTCTGTCACTCTGCCTTTCAAGTAAGTAAATAAATCTTTTTTAAAAGTTAAATTAAATCCAAAAGGGTACCAGAAGAAAAATCAAATGCAATCAATGAAACTACACAGCCAGTTGCTAAAACAATCCCTGTTGCATTTGGACATAGTACTTGGGTGGTCCATATACAATGAGTTCATTCACCTTAAGAAGAACAAAAAGGAGAGTGAAACTCACTTAATGATTCTATGGATCGAAATTCACTGGTATTGTAATTTTGAAACAATATAACATACATTGCAGGATAAAGAAATTAATAACTATATCAATGTTATTAGAAATTACGATATCCATTGGAAGAGCAAAGAGGTAAAACTTCAGGGGAAAAACTCAAAATCTTAAATTGAAATTGGAGTATCAATAGTATCTCACTGTATTTTTTTTAAATTCTAGCTTTACCTGCCGATTCACCTGGAGGCGATGGGATCGCCACGGCAGTCGGCAAACACCAGGCCTGGGCTTCCAGACGCTGCCTGTAAAGAAAGGAAGGCGTCTTGAGACATGAAGTCACGATTCCAGATGAGAAAAAACAGACTGACAGCCTGGAAAGTCACTTTTGAGCACAAAGCAAGGCAACGCCCCAAGATTAAAGGGATTGCCGAGCCGTCATCCTGGAGCCCCTGGCGAATCTGAACATAAAAAGATTCAAATTCATAGATTAATAAAAATCCATGAATCCACAGCAACATTCTCTGAGAGGTGGCTGGGGCAAGGGTGGAGCTGTCCAGTGCTGGAGGTGGCTTTATACCAACTCCTTGCTCGGAAAATTGGTAGTGGAAAGGAGAAAGCAAGGACGGTGAGTTTTTTGAGAAATTCCAGGTTTCTATGCTTTATACTGACAAGCTCATCTTTTTATTTTTTATTTAAGATTTTTATTTATTTGAAACGCAGAGTTACAGATGCAGAGGCAGAGCGCGAGGTCTTTGACTGGCTCGTTCATCCCTCAAGTGGCTGCAATGGCTGGAGCTGGGCCAATCCAAACCCAGGAGCCAGAGCTTCTTCTGGGTCTCCCACGTGGGTGCAGGGGCCCAAGCACTTGGGCCGTCTTCTACTGCTTTCCCAGGCCATAGCAGAGAGCTGGATTGGAAGTGGAGCAGCCAGGACTCGAACTGGCGCCCATACGGGGTTCTGGCACCTCAGGCGGTAATGCCCGCTACGCCACAGCGTCAGCCCTGCAAGCTATCTGAGAAGAACAGTGACTAGTGAGCGCAGAAGTAGTGATACAGACAGAAAGTCACCCACGAAAGTCACTTATCTGTGCAAGGAGGCCAGTGATGCTAAACCACTCTGAAACAGCAGGCAACAGGCGCTTGCAGGATGCCAACTGAGCACTCACAGGGACGGGGGGACCAGCCTCTTCCTGGCGAGATGCCACTGTCAACCAAGTGGACTGACCGCGTCACTCACAGGGAGTCAGCCTGGTTCTCCTGATGGAATGAGACGTGACCTACACTCTAACACCACGCAGCGTTCTTGCCAACAATGTGTAACCAGAATCTGGTCCAGCCCTTAGACCTAGCTCTCAGTTTTCAGCCACTTTCAGGGATGAAGGACCACATCAGAAGTAATCATCCCGGGGCCGTGGCCGTGGCACAGTGGGTTAACACCCTGCCCTGAAGCACCGGCATCCCATATAGGCGCCGGTTCTAATCCCGGCTGCTCCACTTCTGATCCAGCTCTCTGCTGTGGCCTGGGAAAGCAGTGGAGGATGGCCCAAGTGCTTGTTCCCCTGCACCCTCATGGGAGACCCGGAAGAAGCTCCTGGCTCCTGGCTTTGGAGGCCCAAGTGCTTGTTCCCCTGCACCCTCATGGGAGACCCGGAAGAAGCTCCTGGCTCCTGGCTTTGGATGGGTGCAGCTCCGACCGTTGCAGCCAATTGGGGAGTGAACCATTGGGGAGAGAGGAAGACCTCTCTCTCTCTCTCTCTGCCTCTCCTCTCTGTGTAACTCTGACTTTCAAATAAATTAATTAATTAAAAAAAGAAGTAATCACCCCAATCCAAAATGGTACAGGAGGGAGCGGAAGGCTAAGCTTACTCAGTTCGTGTTCCTGAGCCTGTGCAGACCCAGAGGCGTCAGCCCTGCCCTGGGAGTCCGCAGAGGTCACAGCGTGGGATTCACAGTGTGCGTGGCTCTAGAGAACGTAAGGGGTTAAATCCTGGTCCAGCCATGTATTCCATAGCCTTGGCAAAGTGATGGAACAAAGATCGGCACCCTCTGTGGTGAGATGGGTGTGATAAAAACCAGGAGTCTCCCTGGGGAATTGTGAGAGGGTGCTGTAGACAACGTACACAGTGCAGACCAGGCTCAAGGTCCCATCCTCTTGGCTTCCTCATTCCCACTCTCCTCATTATAAAAGGTTGAGAGCCCGGGAAAGTGTAGAGAAGCCAGAAGCCTCGGGGGGGGGGGGGTCACAGCTCAGGTGACAAGTGTGTCCCATCACACCTGCCAGCCCTGAGGTTCTAGACGTGGGGAGTTTTTAATCTTAGTATCCGTGTGTGATAGACACTGGACTCAGGGAAGGAATCACCGAAACCCAAGTCTAGAGCACTAGGAAGGATGTCCTGTGGGTTCTCCAGACTTCCTGGGCGTCAAGGTAGATTTGACACAAAGGCAGGGCAACCTCCGGCACTGTGGAAAAGGTACCACATCCTTTCCTCCCAGGTGTCACCCTCCCTCTGTGTGCCCAAATCTGATGGAGCTCATGATGGCATGGAGAGAACTCATGTTGAGCTAGTGCAGGGCCCACAAGGTGGCAACGAGTCTTACCCCCAGCAGCACCTTCCAGAATGTTCCTTGGGGAGGGGAGCAGATTGGGGAGGGGGCAGCTTGCCATCCAAGATTCGCCTGTGGTTTTCTTTCAGAAGTAGCCCTCAGCTGAAATCCATGGAGGAGGGCTCAGAGGAAGTGCTGTGAGTGCCAGGTATCTCCTCCCAAGTACCCTCATACCACGCTTCAGCTAACACAGGCTGACGCAGGACCAAAGTTTGAATATTGATCTCTTAACTAATTGCTTATGTCAGCTTTGGCAGGCAAGACAAGGTCAGAGGATCCAAGTGGATGCATTTTAAGCACTCGTTTAAAAATTCAAACAGTACAAACAGTACTTAATAAAGTTTAGGCCTCCTCAGGACCAGAGTTGTGACGTAACAGTTTAGGCCGCTGAGACACCAGCATCGCATGTGGGTGCAGGTTCAAGTCTCAGCTGCTCCACCTCCAATCCAACTCCCTGATAATGTGCTACAAAAGATGGCCCAAGTCCTTGGGCCCCTGCACCCACATGGGAGACAAGGTGAAGCTCCTGGCTCCTGCCTTTGGCCTGGCCCAGCCCTGGCCATTGTGGCCATTTGGAGAGTGAACCAGTGGGTAGATTTCTCTATATATCTGTCCTGCTCTCTCTTTCTGTAACTCTGCCTTTTAAATAAATAAAATAACTTTCTTTAAAGTAATCTTACAGTCCAGTGCTAGAGGAAGCCACTATCAGCCGTTCCTTTGGTTGCTCTCAGTTGCTGCCTACATGTATACAAGAATACGTACACGCTTGTGCCTATCTATGTTTACACAAGTGGCAGCTTATCATACGTGTTAGAATCCTTGATCTTGCTTTTGAAAACACTTTCTATCGCAAAATATAGCAAACATATAGAAATGACACGTAAAATATACCATACGGCCTTAGAAGGTATACAAAGCAAACATCTGGGTAAACACCACGCAAGTTAAGAGATAGTATGTACTTCAAAAACCTCGGGGAATGGGGCCGGCGCTGTGGCACAGCAGGTTAAAGCCCTGGCCTGCAGCACCAGCATTCCATATGGGCCGGTTCACATCTCGGCTGCTCCACTTCTGATCCAGCTCTCTGCTATGGCCTGGGATAGCAATAGAAGATGGTCCAAGTTCTTGGGCCCCTGCACCCACGTGGGAGACCAGGAAGAAGCTCCTGGCTCCTGGCTCCTGGCTCCTGATCAGCTCAGCTCTGGCCGTTGCGGCCATTTAAGGAGTGATCCAGCGGATAGAAGACCTCTCGCTCTCTCGCTCTCTCTATCTGTCTGACTCTACTTCTCTCTGTAACTCTTTCAAATAAATAAAATAAATCTTAAAAAAAGTTCATATTTATTTAAAATAAATCTTAAAAAAAAAGATCAGTGGGGGTGGGTGTGTGCTGCAGCAGGTTAAACTGCTTTTCGAGACGCCCGCGTCCATACTGGAGGGCCTGGACTGAGCCTCTCCTCTACTTTCAACCCAGCTCCCTGCTAGCGCATCTGGGAGGCAGGGGATGAGCCCGTGTGCTGGGTCCCTGCCTCCCACGTGGGAGAACTGAGTGGAGTTCCTAGCTCCTGGCTCTTGGCTTTGGCCTGACCTCACCTCAACTGTTGACTCATTTTGAGAGTGAACCAGCAAATGGAAGATCTCTCTATATGTATCTTCCCTCTCTGTCACTCTGCCTTGCAAATAAATACACTTTTTTTAAAAAAGATAAGTTTATTTTAGTGCAAAAATTGTGGAAATCCATGCATAATTTTTTCATAATACACATTTTCCAAAGATTTTTGAGAGCCTTTATATGCATGCATTTCAAAAATTTTTGCACCATAATAAACATCATTGAATACCATTTTGATGACCTTTTTAAATTCCCCTCATACATAACCAGCAATTCAAAGGCTCCTCTTCCTGGGAAGGCAGTCATTATTATGATAATCACTTAGAATGATTGCTTCATTGCTTGTCTCCTGATTTTAAGACATAAAAATGCATCCCTAGGGGCCAGTGCTGTGGCACAGCGGGTTAAGCCACCGCCTGGGGTCCACGTGAGTGCTGGCTCCATCCCAGATGTACCACTTCTAATCCCGCTCCCTCCTAATGCGCCTGGGAAAGCATCAGCCCAGGTGCTTACGCCCCTGCCACCCGCGTGGGCTCCCTGATGAAGCTCCAGGCTCCTGGCTTCAGCTGGGGCCCAGACCTAACCATTGTGGCCATCTGGGGAGTGAACCAGCAAACAGAAGATCTCTCTCTCTCCCCCTCTCTCTGTAACTCTGCCTTTCAAGTAAATTAAGAAAAGGGGGTGGGTGGGGAGAATGCACTCCTAACACTGTCTTTTAGTTGCTGTGAGCTTTTGAACTCCATGTGGACAAACGCAGTATATGACTTTCATATGTGGCTTCTTTTTCCCGCGCGACACCTGCGAGGTTCATTCGCGCTGTTGTCTGGTTGTGACTCATTCATCTGCCTTGTTGTATGGATGGATTCCGCTGTGTGGCCGTGCCTCCTCTGATGATGGCCATCTGGCTTGTCTCCAGTCCCTGGGCTGTGAACAATGTCTCCACAAATATTCCTGGACATCCTCTAGCTGTCTGTGTGCACCCCTGGTGGGCACCGGCCCAGGATGTCATTGTCAGTTTGCTGGCGGTTGGTGGTGCCAGGATGTTTCCAAGGTGGTTGTACCAACACGCCCTCCTGCTGGCCGCGCATGGCCTCCCATTCTTGCCAACATCTGGCTTTGCCGGTCTTTTTCATTTTAGCTCTTCTGTTGTGTATTAATAGTCTTAATTTGCATGTCCATGAATAATGAAATTCTAATATGTGATTGGTTATTCAGTTTTCCCACCCTGTGACATCCCTGTGTGTTTCTTACCTGTTATCTGCTGGGCTATTTGTCTTTTTATTATTAACTTATGGAAGTTTCT